ACTGACCTTACTTTGAGTTTGATTCCATAAAAAGTGACAAAAACATTAGTGTCCGCTGTGCGTGGGAAGAAAACTTCTTTTTACAGCAAAAAAACCCCTAAACTTCCAAACAAGCACCGAGTAGCTACGACGTAATGGGAAACTCACAGAGAAACTCGCGGATTCTTCCACTGACCGCGGCACACCTGCACCAGGGGAAACCTCCGCCTACCCCACTCCTGCTTTACAGGTGAAAATAGAGCAACAGGACCGCTAGTCTTTGACTTTATTTATTTTCTGCTGTGTTTTACTTGCATCTATTTGAAAGACTGAGTGTAAACACAAAAACTATTTTATTTTATGTGCTGGAATGTGCAGAAAATAGGTTTAAATGTTAAACTAATTTCTTCCAGTCAGAGAATGTTGCAGATAATTAAATTTTTGCTTGATGCATAAAGTTAAAAGATTAAAACTAATAAAACAAGTTTTAAAAAAATACTTTTCCATTTGATTACATTTGTATGATGGATTATGTAGAAAAAGTAGAATTGGGCTGAAAGATCTATCACTTTATCACCTGTTCAGGTTGTAAATCGTGTTTTTAAAAGTAACTAAGTAACTAAGTAATTAATTACTTTTGAAAATAAGTAATCAGTAAAGTAACGGGATTACTTTTTGGGGGAAGTAATCTTTAATTAGTTACTGATTACTTTTTTCAAGTAACTTGACCAACACTGGTGCTGGAATCATTTCTCAGAGATTTTGGTTCACACTGACATAATCGCCTCACACACTTGCTGCAGATTTTTCAGTTACAACTCCATCATGTAAGTCTTCCATTCCACCACATCCCAAAGGTGCTCTATTGGATTGAGATCTGTGAAAGTCATTTGAGTGAAGTGAACTCGTTTTCTTCTTCAGAAAACCAGTTTGATATGATATTTGAGCCGTGTGACATGGCATATTATCCTTCTGAACATGGCTACACATTCCCAGATAGCAAAATTGGTATGGCCTAGATCTGGCCCACACAATGTGCTTACACATGGCCCACATACCGCAAAGAATGACGGCCCTTTGGTGGCCCAGATCTGGTTTAACAGAGGTGGCCTACACATGGGCCAGCACAAGGCCAGTTGCAGACACACTGCTGGCCCTGTGCTGGCCCAGAACAGTTTCAGTTCTGGCCCCAGATGTCAGCCTAATGTGTACCTTAATCAAGTTATGTAATAACAACATGTGCCAGAACATAATAGTACATAATAAAGTGTACACTCACAAACCTGCATTTGAAACGTTGGCTACAATAGCAGTATAGAATTGCAACATGGCATTTGGGTCTTCTAACAAAAATAGGAAAATAGGAACATAAACAGTGCCATCATTGAGATACATGACACCAGTCAGTCAGAAGTACCAGCTTGATGCCAGATCTGGGCCAGACCCGTTTCCTATGAGCCTGGCCACATAAACCAAACCACAATCGAGCCAGATGTGGCATGCTATCACATAGACAGTGCCATCTATGCCAGGCCTGGCCATATCTGGATGACATACCACTCACCATGCCAGAAGTCAGGTAGCAGTGCTGGCTAAATACCAGCTCTGGGCCAAACCTGGACCAAACAGTGCAAATGGTTCAGAGTAGCAGCTGATAAGTCTTTTAAGTCTTTTTAAATACTAATAATGAGATAACACTTTGTCTTTCCCTTTACTCTGCTCCTCTCCATAGCATAAAAAGGAACAGAGTCAGTAAAAACAAAGATGGCAGTTGTGCAGGACAATGGAGAAAAGGGAAAAAGTGGCTCAGTGAAAGGAAAAAAAAGCAGAGATAAAACAGCAAAAGAAATCTCAACGTCACTTAAGAGCCTTCTTTGAAGAAAAAGAACTTCAGCTGAACAAAAACCACGTATTTTCCCTGAGGAATACTGGCGTCTCTGAGAGAGAGAGTGAAGTAAAAGCACAATGATTTAAAATTCCTTAGCTTGCCTATTTTTGGAGCAGTTCAATCAAACCGTTGAATGTTTACCCCGAAAGTTTAAATTGTTAGGGGAGCGTAACACACCACTGACACTCCCTGATCAGCCTGTGGGAGCAGTGGGAATAGCCTGGTTCTTATGAGCCTGAGCTGGTTAAACTGGATGAAGCCAAGTCAGCTGGACACTGGAATGTTTTTAAAGCTTTCAGAGTGAAGTTGGTAATAAAAGACATTTTGTGACTTTGAAACTTTGCTGAGAAAAAAAACTCAATAGAAATGTGAAGAATCCTTCAGATCCAGTCAACAGCCTGAATGACAAACCTTTTAGAAGAGCACGTTGTTGCACTGATGCATGGCTGGCAGACTTCTCGTTACTGACTGAATGCTGGATTGTGCCATAGATTTTGCGTAACTTTACATATGCATAGTAAAAGTGTAACCTTCTAAACTGTATTTTAGACAGAAAATTCCCAAACTTTTAAAGCATTTTTTTTAATCAGTACCTATATGTGCAATTTTTATGTCCTGCTGATGATTTAAATTACAGCTATTACTCTCTCCATTCAGATAAGTTAGGGGTTTCAAAAAAGCTGCCTATAGAGTAATGAAGTTGGAAACAGTTTCCAGAGGGACTCGGGCTATATCAGAGCATAAAAAGAGTCACATATTTCTCCAGACATAAAAGTGTCCAAAGGAATCGAGTCGCGGTTGGATTATCACCGCTCTAATATGAGTGAGTCATCTGAGTTCATTGTAACAATAGACCTTTGGTAGGATCCTTTGTGATCTTACGAGCATGCATAGGAGCGAGACTGTCATCTGCAGCTGATCTGTGACGAATTAAAAATGAGAAAGTTTAACCATTCGTGTGTCATTGGTAGCGTAGTGAACTGAAGCTGTCATCTGTGTACAGTAGACTCGTGCATTCTTCCGGTTCTTATATTAGAAATGGCTGAGATCATTTTCACTTCCTCTGGCCTGTTTGTCAAAATAAGAACACTTGGTTTAAAGGAAGTCACCTTTAAATGAAGCTATTATTTAAAAGGTGCTCAAATTGAATCATTAAAATGCGTCACTGTGCAGAAGAGTCACAAAGACATATAACCTGAACCATCTACATTTGGTACAGTTACACATATCTTGAATAATTTCTATGGCAGGGCGAGCTTGTTTGTGTTCCTCATCAGCCTGAAGGGAGCCCAGGGGAGAGTTTGATGCCGCTCTGCAAGGGTAGCTGAAGGATAGTGCAGGACTGCCGTCCCCACGGTCATTAGGCTGCCTGTGCTCGACACACACTCATCATCCATAGCGATCTCGCAGAGGTCTCCGTCCCGCTCGCAGAGATCCCTCACTTTCTCTCTGGTGGTTTGACTCGTCTTAGCCCCGTCTCTTTCTTGCTGCATGCTGGATGAGTTCTGTTTTCCGCAGCCTCTCTGTCTCTGTCTCTCTGCACTCCCTCACCCCCTCCCGTGTGACCCTTTTACTGTATGTCTCACTGATGACTGATTGTCCTGGCCAGGCCCAGCCAGCTCTAATAAAAAGAATAAACTCATATTACATTCATGCCTATGGGTCTTTGCTGTTCACAAAGAAAGAATAAAAAATAGAGGAGAGAGCAGAGAGTAGGTGGAGTGGGAGTGAGGTGCTGTAAGAGCATAGAGCATGAAGGGTAAGAGTTGAAGGAGCTTGACAGTAAATGAGTCAAGACTGCAACAAAAAGGAGAAAAGGATGGGAAGGAGGCAAAAGCTTGAGAAGGCAGTGTGAATAACTGATGGAAGAGTGCAATAAGCAGTGATGAGACAGTGATTTCTGTACTGTGCTTTTCGCAAATTTTCAGATGACTTCTTCAAGGTCCCGTGTTAGGAGCAGGCTGCCAGCTTGGCTGATGACTCGAGTCTTTCTTTTCAGCCCCGTGTCTCCGACAGTCTTTCCTTTGCTTTCTCTAACTTGCTCTGATCAATCAGAAGCTTAGACTAAACTTCACTCTGACTAATGATTTTTCACTGCCTCTCCTGCTGCTTCTTAGACAGCGGGAACTTTATCAAGAAAATAAAAAAAATCAGTTTAAACTTTTCAAATGAAAACAAAAAGCTACTTTTGGCTGATAGTGCTGTTATTTTGGACTCTTTGGGAGGCCTAATCATCAGGAGGATTGTTTGTGTGCTGTATGAAAGAAAGCATTTTAAGGTAATAATTTAACATTTTGGGAAATAAAAACTTGTTTGCTTGAAAAAGCATTCCCTCCTTTTATGCCTGTGCGATAAATATTCACCTGAAGTCAGCAAATTAGTTAGTGATAATAAGCAACTCCAAGGCCAACTGACAGAATAATCATCTGCTGCATCTGTACAGCTGAACTGTGAAACTGACATGCATGATTTTAGGTTAGAGTCACGTGAAAAGAATTTTTCATTAAATTCTGTGTTGTCTTGTTAAGAGGCTGTGTAGCAGCTAGATGCTACTAATCAAATGCACTGGATTAATTAATCATGAGCTGATGTGACCACCTCTATAAAGCAGAGGGTTGGGCAGTTTGCTGGTCTGGAATATTAAGCTGTGTGTTAATAATACAATGCCACAATCTTCCCTGGAGTGGATGTCCCAGCAAAATCACCCCAACATCAGACTGCGCAATACTCATTGCAGCAGTTTCCTGCACCTTAACAGCGGGCATGTTGGAGGGTATACTGGTGCTTCCTGGAGTCTTCATTGGTTGCCAGTCAATACATTTCTCACTCATAACCCTTCCTAACGTGGAGTTGTCATTTTTACACTTGTTGTTTTCAGTACAAATTTAACAAATGATTTATATCATGTTTATGAGTGATGAGTTAATAAGCGGGTAGGTACAATCCAGCAGAACCAGACTAACTGTTCTTGGTTTGACGTTTAGCTTTATGCTAAGTTATGCTAACTGGCTCCAGTTATGCTAGCACACTAGCATCTATCTTCTGTCTAATGCTGAGCAAGAAAGCCAGTTTGCAAAATGTCAGTGCTTTGAGGAAAGCTCACACTTGTCTCTTTGTGTTTCCATTGCTCCAGTGTGAAAATGGTGCTGCTGTGGACAGCTGGTGACGTCTTCAAGACCACCTATTTTGTGATGAATGAAAGCCCGGCGCAGTTCTGGGTGTGCGGTTCAGTCCAGATCCTGATTGATGTCGCCATCCTCCTCCAGGTCCTGTTTTACAGCCAAGACATAAGAGCCAAGCTGGGCTGAGCATGGCTGTTACAGTGGCTAACACAAAAGCCCGAGTGTTTGAGTAAGTTTCGAGGACTCTGATGACTTCACGCCCTTTACAACATGCTGCAGTGTTGATAACGTTTAATGTTTAGTGCCAGAGTAAGGACAAATCAAAGTCAAATAGTGTGTTTGTTTTGTTTTTCTTTGGTGTGTTTGTTCACTTCTTTTACTGTTCATACTATCCTAGTGTCAAAGAGACCCAACCGAGTGACCTGTAAACGCCGTAAAGCCAAAATTCATGCATTAGCATCTTTAATCATGCCCTAGCACCTAAATGCATTTGCCTGTACATTTGTCCTTATTTTGCTACGTGTCTCCTGAAGTGTAGTGGGCATGGAAATTGTAAGGAGGATGCATTACTCATATTGGCAGCTCACTAACGACAAATATGCGCTTCTGTAACAACCGTAACAACCAGTCCTGCACTGGTAGGCCTCCACTGGACCCTGCTGCCTGACTGATGGCTCTCCCACTTCACACTCCTCACTTCACTGGACTGTTTCTCATGATACATAATATGTGGGCTTGTCTGTGCCTTTGCATGTGTGCGAGGTTGTCGTTCTCTCTGGTGTGTTAGTACAGCTAAAATTGATTTTCGCCATTGGCATCGAGAGCCAAGCCAAAGCTTCAGAATGTACATGGAGTAATCTACACAGGCCATCAATCTGTGTGTTGTGTATGGTGGTTTGATTGACGTGCAGTACATGTCTCCACACAGTATACATAGAAATATGAAAAATGTGGGCAGTGATGGTTTGCACTTTTCCTCAGCTGCAAAATGTGTTACGGGCATCGGAAACACAGCAGACTTCAGGGCAACTAAACTTCTCGAGGGGACAGTGTTACTGAATCTTTGTGCGATTGCAATTTCTGCCAGTGTATTTAGGTTAAGCTGTTTTTTGCTCATCTTTTCCTCATTCAAAAGGAGGAAAGATTTTATATATATATATATATATTTACCTTGGTTATTGACTAGATGGTGTCCACACCCAGTAAATAATAAGTGTGCTGCTAACAGATATTTAAAAAAGGTCAATTGTTCGTGTTCAGTTTTCTTAAACTTCATCATTAAGTCAAATCCCTTCATTATCAAGCCCATCGTTAAAATCAAAGGTGATTTTATTTTCAGCAACAGGAAATAACTTTTCTTTTAACAATCATTTCCTTTTCTGATTGGCTCATTAATACACTCGCTGTGATTTTAATAGGTCACTCAGTCTAACTGCAGGTGGCTGATTCTTCGCTTTAGTCCAAGAGGTGAAGTGGTGCAAAAATTATTATTTTTTCTTCCGGTCTCGTTGTTCCAGATCAATTATGTGTCTTTCAAATTTTGTTTCCTCATTTTAAAACATAATCAGGCTTATATGCACTGATTTACCTGTAAAACACTTAAAAATAGCTCATTAAAATCGTGTCTAAGATACTAACTGAGGGTCTAAAACTGAAGTTAGCCGATGCACTGAAAACAGGCGGATGCTGTGAAAAGAACCGAAAATGCTTCCAGCTCATCATTTCCACAGTCTGAATGACATTTAAGCGAAACCATAGAAATCAAAATCAAAAACAAAGACCCCTTTCAGACAGCTTAATATTTCATTTTCATTTAATCTAGGGTCAGTTTTTAAAATATTAGAAAAGCAAATTCTAGCAATATTTAACCTCCTAAGACCTGAACTCTTCCACAGCAGCATTTTTAATTTCTCTTTGCTATTTGGGCTGATTGGGACCTGATGAATGTAAAATTTTATTATAATTTTTTTAAACCTGACTTTTGGTTCTGAATAAAATGAGATCCACATATGAGGACATTTGTTTTAAATTTCGATAGAACAGTGGCAGTATAATGTCCTCGTAAGTGGATTTCAGGCCCTTGTAGAGCAAAATCTAGTATTTTGGTCTAGACGACCCAAAATGTGATGTCCACATATGTGGACACCAGGTCCTAGGAGGTTAATGAATGATTTGCTTCTTAGTAAAGCTTAATTTAAGACTGGTTTGCCCTTATTTAAGTGGATTCGGGCCAGTGATTCAGAAATCCAAAGTTAACAATGGATTCTGCCAAAAATCAGCAGATTCTGAATGCAGACGTCTTGCAGTGAAGTTCGACTTACAGGAGGAACATCAGCTGAAACCTCTGGAACAGCCCTGCAGTCTCTCAACCTGAACAACATGCTGTGTGAGCCCTGTCTCACAAAATGATCTGCAAGAAGACGGGCTGGCAATTCATGTGTGAAGGATGACTTGTAGCTGACGACATCTCTCAGGGATGCCCCGACTTTTATATAAAACTGTACATCAACTAATGGCTACAAAGAAGTCTCTCAGAAAGTCAGACCCACTTTAGTGTCTCCACTCACATAGAAATGTGCTGCTGGATGGGGCAAAGGTTATGTAATGCACGGAAAACGTGCTAACCTTTGGTTTAGTTCCTTCATGCTTCCGTGTAAAAGCTCCGATGAGCTCGGCTTTAGAGGCAGCAGCGGCTGGAGTGTTTTCCACGAGGTTCACGTTTTCACATCCTCAGTTTGAATGCGCTCTCTGTTTAATAGGTTTTGGGGAAACCTTGCAGCCATAACAGAAGCAGTTAAACTCTGCATTCTCTGCAGCTTATAATATGCAAAACAGTTCACATGTACTTTATTCAGAGGCTCTGTCTATAATTGAAACAGCAATTTAAAAATAGAGCCTTAAGGTTAGTTTTGGTTCTGTTACCTACTGCTTGATAGTTTCCTCCTACAAAAACACTGCAGGGTCAAATACGTCAGTCCCACCAGCTGATCAGTACTCGGAACAGGTTTCTTTTTAGTTTTCCACTTGCATGATTTAATTAAGTAATGAAGTTTCAAGCTGATTAAATCTTCCACACTTTTACCTCACCAGTTTCCATTAGTTGAGCTACACCTGTTTATCTCAGTGAACATCATATTTAAATTACCCGCTTTTGCTGTTATGGTTTTTATAATGAAGGCAGCAGCAGCAGCCTGCAGCAGCCAGCATGTCGGTACCATTAGCTCAATAATAAAAAAATATTGTTTGGTCTGCTTTAGAAACAGACCAAGTTTGCATGCATTCTTTAAATCCACATATCTCAGATCTGTTTGCCATGTTGTAAGCTGCATGTGGCTTATCGCCTCTATCCTGCACACCACAGTTGTATTTTGTTCCAGTTCTGTGTCATGTATGCTCTTATCATCAGATGTGTATCTTTATATTGTTTTTCCTCTGCAGAGGCTCAGAATAGCACCCGCACCGACTTTAGTTTAACATTTGCCTGCTCTGTAGCCTTTTCCTCTCAAGGACAGCAGGACAAATGAACACACACACACACATACACACACATACATACACACACACATGCGCCTCAGGTGTGATAATCAGTGAAGTTCATATGATGGTGAATCTACTTGTTGCCTTTCTGCATGCAGAGGGAGGATATGCTGTGTAACAATAATAAGCCAAAAGATCCTTTCTGTTGAACCAAAAGTACAAACAAAGTAACTTTTCACTGGAATATAATGAATATAATGTAACTGTGATGTAAAATGTAAGAGTTTGTGACATCAGGTATGTAAAAATACTGCAAAAATGTTAATGTCTGAATGTTTTACTGTCTTATGGCAGCTCTATGTATGTATGTGAAATATTTATCATCATCAAATATAAACTATTTTGAGTCCATGGTGTAGTGCTGTGTGCTTTCTGTCTCTGTGAACTCTGTGAATGTGAAGCATGTGAAGAAGAAAGAGTTTGACAGACAGAATAGAAGCCTGGTAGTCTGAGTGATTAGCTTTAACATGGCTAAGATCTAACATATAACCTTTCCAACAGCTTAGCTAGAAACACCAGACGTGAACCACATATATGTTCTCTACATTCCCGTACAGTAGATATATCTTTTCTACAGAACAGGTCCCAGTCGAGCTGTCTTGCAGTGAGATAAAGTGCAGAGGGAAAACCTTGAATTCTTTTATTTAAAAGGATTGAGCACCAAATAAATAATGAAAAAGACTGAGGTAGAGTTCAGACTTTTCTGTTGCTGAACGCACGGAATTGAAGATCTGCGGGTTAATTAAGACTCGTGTCCCTCCAAGGCTTTAATCCCCTCTACCTAATTCAACATCACACACGCAGATGGTTGCGGCATCACTTGGTTCAAGATAACTCACAGCAATAAAGAGGAGCGCTGCAGCGTGGATAGTAAAATATTAAGGAAGCTGGCTATAGTTTGAGTGTTGGACAAGGACAGAATGTGTGCTGCACCTGTCGGTCTCTAGCATATCGAGACTATCTCTCCACACGTTACATGTTCCATATGCACGGGGTACGACCCCCTTGGTCGTGGCGTGTGGATATTTCTTTAAGACACTCCGGCACACCCGGCTACGCCCCACAGCTCACGTGTAAAACAGCTGTGCTTTCAGTGGATTCATGTTTTGGCCTGGCTTGTACATCCATTAATAATAGATAAACTGGAATGCAGGCTTGAACTTGAACGCTGTATCTGATCCTGATACCTGTAACGTGTGTCTCATTGGTATCACATAGCATGATGGCAGTCATGACTTTGTCTATGGGTTTTAAAATGTTTCATCATAAATCTCATAATGGATCTATCTGACCACCTGCCATCAGCTACGTCTTTCCATCCACCCATCCATCAGCTGATAATTCCAACATGTCTGTCTTTACAGTGGCTTGTTTTAATGATGGATGAGGTGGGCTGAAATAGTTCACCTGCACCCCATGTCCACGAGGTCTGCTCTGCTCCGGTCTGCTCCATTTATTAATGATGGCGTGTCGTCATGCAGTAAAAGGAAGTGCACTTTTCATCCCCATCAAGTGTTCCAGATTTCATCTACTAGGCACAGAAGTTATTGGCAGCGTAGGTGACGAATATTGAATAATAATGAATACACCATGTTTCTTAAAACACTGATTCTTGTTTATGTGTTCCAGGATAACTGTCCTTATTGTTTCTACCCTCATGTTGTTCATCCCCTAGTTCTTTACATATGCTTCTCCTGGCTGTTACACAGAGTTCCTGCTTTATTTTGGTAATTATTTTCTTTGCTTTTCTTCTATTGTTTTACTTCCTGTCTTTGTCCTAGTTCTCTGCTGAGGTTAGTTTCATGTGTCTTGTGCTAGTCATTCAGTTTCTATTTAAACACATCAGCCGTTTAATTAGCCATACACCTGGTTAATTGCTTGTTAAATATCTAATTAGCCAATTACATGGCTGTGACTTTAAACGTGGCATGGTTTTTGGTGCCAGACGGATTGGTCTGAGTATTTCAGAAACTGCTGATCTGCAGGGATTTTCCCATGCAACCATCTCTACGGTTTACAGAGAATGATCTGAAAAAGGAAAACTATCCAGTGAGCGGCAGGGCTCTGTTAAAAACCTTTAAGGAGATGGTCTACACCAGCAGACCACAATTGGTGCTTCAACATGAAGGCAGGAGGAAGGAAGGCAAGAGTAACAGTAACCATTCTAGCCAGAACGGGAAACTGAGACTGGCACAGGCTCACCAAAGTTGGACAAAAGAAGAGCAGAAAAAATCTGCCTGGTCTGATCAGTCGCAATTTCTGTTGCAACATTCACATGTTAGAGTCAGAATCTGATGTAAACAACTCTGCCTTGTAGCAATAGTTGTTGGCGTAAGTGTGTTGGGGATATTTTCTCGCCACACCTCGGACTCTTTAGTACAAACTGATCATTTTCTAAACACCACAGCCTGCTGAGTATTACTGCTGAACATGTCCATCCTTTCATGACCACAGTGTACCCATCCTCTGATGGCTGCTTCCAGCAGAATAACACGAAGCTCAAATCATCGCAAACTGGTTTCTTGAATATGACAATGGCCTCCATAGATCTCAAATGGACTCCATAATCACCAGGTCTCAATATTTCTTCATATTTCTGACATCTTTCCTTCCACTTATCCAGTTTAGGGTTGCAGCAGGGCTGGAGCCACATGCATGTCTTTGGACTGTAGTAGCACGCACACGCAGGAAAGCACAAACTCCACAGCGTTTTCAGCCAATCAGTGGATTTGACCTTCTTGTGTAGCTGTGTTTTACTGCAGCGGTCCCCAACCTTTTTTGCACCACGGACCGGTTTATGCCCAACAATATTTTCACGGACCAGCCTTTAACGTGTCAGAGATGGGCGTTACTGTAATCCGATTACTTTTTTCAAGTAACGAGTAAGGTAAGGGATTACTATTGCAAAAACGGTAATTAGATTACTGTTACTTT